AGGGGCTGGCAATGCTCACTGCTGCGGCTTTCGGCAGATTTCATAGTTGCCAAAATCGTATATCGGACGCGTGATCATTTGGGTTCGCGTTACGTGCCCTGCCATCAAGTGGAATCGAATAGCATTTATTGCTATGTACTATCGTTTTTTTTTTCTTTTTTTAATTTCTCTTTAGTTTGCCTCTATCCAGTACATTCTGTATCGTATTGACGCATCTGTATTGATATAACATCGATATGTTAATAAGCCCTCGTTACCCAACTGTATGGAACTACTGGGCGTCATTAGACTCAGGTTTTTGACCAGACAAAATAACACTTAATGGCAGGATGACGAAATCATATATCACAGCAGGGAGGGGTATAATAAATCCTCGAACTAACTGGAATTATTATATGATACCTATGCGTTTCTCTGTTTGATATTTGGTTAATATTAAGATCTGGTACAATCAGTCGTTCAATAGTTGTCACTACAAATATTTGTGGTTGCAGTGAAGAAAGATTAAGAATTTTTGGTATGAAGGCCAATTGATGTCAAATTCAATAGATTTTCTAAGTACTGTATTGTATAAATGAGAAAAAAGAACCACGCAACTCGTACTATTCACTCTATATTACCTTATCGTCCGGGTGATTGGTTAATAGGCAGTTGATGTAACGTTTCCCTAGAACTCATTCGATTATGGCATCGCGTACCACTACACAATTACACGTCAGCATGCACAAGATGAGACAACAAGGAAGGTCGGATTGTTTTGTCTCTGCGGCCTGATGACTCCGTCAATTGTCTGGGTCGCGTTTGAACGAGATTTGGGCTGGAAGACCTTGGGTACTCGCTTACTAGCGACCTTCACGCTGCTGCTCCTGCACCAGTTGGCGTCATAACGTTATTGCAGACGGGCGTTCCAGACACGCGAACAAATTGTCGGCTCTGGAGGGATAAAGTGGTGCACAAACATTTGTTGTGGGAGACGCAACGTTAGTTATGACGTTAACGACGATGAAGCTCACTTGTTACCAGCACGACGCAATCCGCATACAGGCTCAGCTTTTGTACGCCTTGATATGCCCCACTCTGTTTCGCTCGATCGGATCTGGTCTGAGCAACGATATATTAACGGCGAATCGTTTCGCTACAATAATCGCTTTCAACGATTCTAGAAGACAGACTGGACGAGAAAGCGACGGCCGTATTATAAAGCAAGCTCGGGATTCTCCGCATGAACACTCTTATTCTCATCATAGTCACGGTGTTTTGTGCGTAGTTGGTACGGAAAAAATTTAAATTATCGCGTCATCAGTAGTCGAGGCCGTTCTTCTCGACTGTCTTATACAAACCACGGGGTCAGTAGAGAAAGAGCGAACATTAGGTTGATTGTTGGCGGGATACATATACTTCCAATATTCCATCTAACATGGTTGGTCTGGCTGGAATTTACATAGATTTTGTATGCGCCACGTTCCGCGATCGGTTAGACAGCTTTAGCTAGACGTGATCACGGCGTACTCCAGCAGTGCAAGATTCCATGTATGGCTGAATGGCATGCAGAAGATGCTGAAAGCTCCAGTTCAAACCGCGGACGAAGCATCAGCAACACCTCTTGGCAACCAACGATACTAAATGTCCGCAGAGGTGCGGGGGCTGAGGGGCTTCGGAAAATTCGAACCTGCCCCCTGTCGTTTGCTCGTCGTTGGTAATACTGGTTTTATTCCGCTGCTTTTGATGCTGTTATTGATGATTTTTTGTTGTCGCATAAAAATGCCCGAGATTCTACTGTTCGTAGCAGTTTATTGTTCGTAGACAGCTGTTGTAATTAGATTTAGTAGCGCTGGTCTACTCATATCTACATGTATGACTATGTGCGGTCGCGTATAAGAAAAGCTCCTTAGCCTCTTTATACGTGTGTGTACATTCGGCTGTCGATCTTGTTAGGATGTCCTATTTAAGATGGGGTAAATTGGAAGTGGCACTTTTTCGTACAGGGCCTATTGAGCATTCGAGGCGTCGCCTAGTCTGATAGCTCGTTCACTACTTATTCGAACATGTTTTGTGTTCGCCTCTACCGTTTGCTCAAGGGACAACGCCATTTGTTTCTGTACCGCACGCGATCGCTATATTCGAGCGACTTTCGCTTCGAAGTATGCAAACAGGGGCAAATAAACAAGCCAGCTAAATAGATAACAAGCGACTAGCTTTTTTCATCTGCTTTCTATCGCGTAAGGGATTAATTCCTCCTTCACAGTTCACGAGTGTGCTTGTATTATGATATCTCCGCTGCCGTCTGGCGCTGTTGTTACCCTCCAGTTTAATAAGGGTTACGTTATTTGGCGGGTCATTGGCGCGACTTCTGTCAATCGAGTCTTGTCTGTTGCCCCATTCCATCAGAAGTGAATCCTCCCTGTTCAATGGAAGGACGACAAATATTTTCGTAACAAAATTGTTTTGCGTCCGTCAGAACTGGCTAATTAACGTGACAGTATAATTTAAATTTGCCGCTAAGCTGTGAAAGACGATAAAACCACATACCTAACAGCATCATCATCATCACAAGCAGAAATAGAAAATATAATAGCAAACGGGTAGAACAAGGCAAAAGAAGTGAAAAAATTACCTTTGCTCATGCGACTGGCCTTTAAAGTCATGCATATATATATATATATATATATATACATATATATATAGCAATCTTTTTCCACAAATCTGCAGCTGTTTTAGTTGTACGAATGCAAAATATCAAAGCAAAAATCCGTTTATTATTTGTCCGTATAGTATTAAAAGCGCTAATCGTAGGCGACTTCATTCGGGCGGTGTTACACCATCAGGATAGAGCTTTTCTAGCTCTCTTCTATTGAGTACAAATAGTCCGAACCAAGCGATTTTTTCCCTTGTTTACGCTGCTTCACTCTCGCAGGCCTCCATGTCTTGAATGTGCTCGGTTATGAACGTTTCTACGTGCTGATGCGCGTGTGTAGATGCGCCCCAATCCATTCGCTATCGTACGCCCCTGTTCCACCGCAGAACTTTATCTACCATTGACAGTCCCATCTTACCTCGTAATCATACAACGAAACACAAACACACACGGACGCACAGAAACGTCTCCATGTATCGACCGACTGCCTCAGTTTCGTCATCGGCCCGAAGCAGATCGGCAACGGCAGCGACAGAAAACTGATGATCAGAAGTGATCATCAATAGAAGTAGAGGAACGAACTGTGCGGGAAAGCGATTCTCCGACATATACAGACGAACGGATCGACCAAAAGTAACACGGCAGCCGAAGATGACTGGCGCGAGCTGCCGACTCCACTTTTGCTAGATTCGTCCCTGTCTAGATTTCTCTTTCGCGGTGTGTCGCGCGCTCTTTCAATTGTTCTCGTGTGTCTTTTCTGCTTTGGTCTTTGCTAGGCCGTCTGTTCAATCATCAGTGCACTTTATTGACGCAGATGACATCGCTATCCTTATTGCTACCATTGTGGTTGTTGTTACTGCGGCAATCGTTGCTAGAGCTTCTGCTGCTGTGTTATCGTCTGCATGATCAGGTTCCGAAGTCGATAGTCTCAGTAGCAGAAACGGAAACACGTAAAAAACACCGAGCGGACAGGGAAACTGTCGTGAGGATCATGTTCGATGGGAGATGCCATCCTGGTGTGTCTTTCGATGCGTATGCTCCGGCTACGGGAATGTCAGCCAGATAAACCGAGAGCAAGGCGGCACGAGTGGATGATATATAACGTACATATATATATATATATGTATATGTATATATATGTATATATATATATGTATATATATATATGTGTATATATATATATGTATATATATATATATATGTATATATATATATATATATAGACAAACAGTCAGTTAAGCAGAAACAATGGATAATAAAAGCACAAGGGCATTAGCAATAAGTAACTGGCACAGACAAACGCTCAGCCGATGAAAACTTGCTGTTGTCCGCAAAATGCCACTTGTTGCAGTCATCATCAACAAATGGCAGGCAGGCAAACATCTACAGACTCACTTCAGCATTGCACTTCAACCAGGCTCCACGCCGCGCCTTAAAAGAACATAATATTATATATGTTTTTATAAAGGCGCCAGGTTAAAAGCGACTGTGGCCGTTAACGAAACACCGTAGTTGTCTTTGTTATTGTGCCATGTGGTTTGTGTTTATTGCTTCTACTGGTGCTGGTGCCGTCGATGCAATGGTCGCCGAATGGAACGAGTCGATCTGACGAAATTGCGAGACGATGGAACTCTCGCAGTAAACGCGAACGATAGGGGCAATGTCGACTACTGCTATAGCGTAATAACTGCTACGGTTACATACACACAAACAGATACGTTAAAAACGAAAAGTTACGAACACATAGATCGATTTGCGTGATCATTGTTACACAACGATGACGCGAGAGCAATAAGGGGCAGATGTTTCTGTTGTTGCGTTCATCGTTGTACATGTTCTTCTGCCTAAGCTGATTAGCGCCACTCGCAGGTCTGAGAACAACAGTTCCACCGAACTGCACGGGAGTATGTCTAGAGCGTGGGCGGCGATAATGGTCTAGTCTGAAGTCGTTACTGGCAGACTCGATCAATTACATGTTGACCATACTGTTTGTTCTTAGGCGAACATAGTTCCGGTATCAAGCGCGCGGTGATGGGGTGAGAACAAGCGACGATGTGTGTTAGTGCTATGTAAAGAAACGTAACGTATAAATTAATAGGCTATATATAAAATCTTAGATTGATGATTATCTATTATCTCACCCTTGTACTCTATATTATCCGTATCATAGGTAAAGCCGTCAACTGGCGACTAATTAAGCGACGTCCATGTTCGGCGAAGTTAGCAGACAGGCTTCTAGAGGAAAAGTTATAGAACGAACTCGTACATATTCAAACGTATCCATGGAATCAATTTCAATGAAACGATACTGAACAGCGAAACTGATTTACTCACGCTTCTCTCGTCCTCTGCGTAATTTTTGCAGTCGTTCTTCGGGCGAACGTACAACAACCTCTCGGCGCTCGGCGAGTGTAAAAACAACGGCCAGTGCATCATTAACAAGAAAAATCGAACTTCGTGCAAAAGCTGCCGTCTAAAGAAATGCCTTTTAGTCGGCATGTCTAAGAGTGGTAAGTGAATAGAATAGGGCAAACGTGAATCGATGTAGCATACCTATGCCCGGTGCCTTATGGGTTAGAGATACAACAGCCTAAAATCTTCGTTGAGTTCAAGGTATGGGTGTATGTGCGAATATTTTTTCTCATCATCTTGGCGCTAAACATTTAAACTGATATCTCTAATCTCTATTGATATAGTTGAGGCTGTACGATATAGAACTTAGCATACCGCGCAAGTAGAAACTATTGAGTTATTTATAACACTTGGTCTAGTCGCATGGCACTGTACCTTCGACCTATCTCCGTCAAGAAAAACCCTGAACAACTGACAGCGATTGTCGCCACACTTTATGTATAAATATATACAAAGAGAACTGGTAAAATTCGTCGTCCCCAGTCGCGTCAACTAGCATATTTTAGTTTCGAGGAACATCTTCTGGTGACCGGCACAGAACAACATCATCTACAACCGCAACGAGGGCAGCTTTTTTCGCCGATCGCGAAGGCAGGAATTAGTCTATAACATACCATCAACAGCATTGCCAGTATCGCTGCCATCCCGAACGAGATACGAAAATCGGGTAGGTTCGTTTAGAGGGACGAAACAGCTCACCAACGAATGAGCGCGTAAACTGCTGAACGACACAACGATTGAACGAATCAACTTCATGATGAAACAGCGCGCGCCGTGGTTTAACGCAGTGGTCTTCGCCGCGCCGCTAGCGATCGGCTAAAGTGCCGGTCACGAAGCGTGAGGTCATCCCGGAACCCGGCAGACGTAACAACCGCTACCACTGCCAGGCAAAATTCGTGTAGTGTACACGTTTTCGCTGTTGCCGCTCACTGACTAACTCGGGTTGTTATGCTCTTACCGATGTCCCTCGATACAAAAAAGTAAAGCGGTGAGCTCCTCTCCCTGCTAGGAAAGCTAAAAGAAGCGAAATAGTTCTCTTGGTCGACCTCCCTCGCCCGGTCATAGTCGGGAATCTATGGTAAATCCTCACGGCTAGTGGCCAGTGGGCTTTCTGAATCCCTGTGAACTTGCCTATAGATGATTTGGAACTGGATCACTGAGTCGTCAAAAATACGCTTGAATTCAGTAGCGAATAGAGGGTCGGTAATAACGTGGCGCAACGTTCACCGAGATATAGTATCGCACGCATCGATCGAAGAAGACACGAGGCGAATGTACATGATTTCGGCGTAATGCGAAGGATCTATGTACCTAAAATAGTTTGAAACGGCTGGTACTATCGAAATCGACCGCGTGTATTTAGCCGCGCGGTCTGTCTTGTAAATGATGATTTTGATGCCGGAATTTATTTTAAGCATGAAAAATTGACCGAAGTACGACTCAGCATGGTGATTGCTGTCGTGCTGTTTGAGAACGAATCAAAAAACGAAAAAATTATACCTAACTATTAATCCGACTGATTTAAGCGTAGAGAACAATAACAACACAATGTTTTCAATTCTGATAGCCCGAAAATATTCCCATCATTTTTTTCTACTAGATGTTTTTAATGGCTTATTTCGTTTTTGTTACGGCATAACTTTATTGTTGTCACTAGGCATACGTATCTTGACGGTATTCAAATACCAGTGAAGCCATGACGTGACTTGGTGATGTTTGTGATAGTAACCCATGGATATCCTGTTTTTTGTTTCTGTCCTCCTTCGCTTTGTATAGGGTCACGGTATGGTCGACGTTCAAATTGGTTCAAAATCCACTGCTTAATTCAGGATCAGGCCGAAATGAGCACCCGATTGGGCGAACAGCAAGCCCTTTATGAGAAGCAAGTCGATACGCTCACGCGTCGCCAGTCGCCTGCATCACCTGTGGTAGAACGGCCGAGTCTTTCGCCTGTAACTTACCCGCCGCCAAGCTCATCAGCGGGCACCACGACTTCAACGGCAGCTCGGAGTCCAACTCCGTCGGAAGCCACGCCGTTGTCAAAGAAGCAACACAACCATCCAAGTCAGCAAAGCCATTCACCTGAGACCCTACTTTTCCACCCGTCGTCGCCTGTGTCACCGATCTCGCCGATGACACCGTCAAAGTTCCTATTCCAGTCGGCTGCCCTCTTAGGCAAACACAAAATCTCTGACTTTCCGTATTCGCTCGCTTCACGGTATCAGGCTGCGGCAGCTGCGGCAGCCGCTGCGGCTGCGAATGGGCTTCTCCAACTACCGCCCGGACTTCCGACGGCACTCAAACAGCGGCCTGACATCTATCCGCTGTTTGGTTTGCCCTCGCAACCTCTTCTAATGAACATGAACAGCTCAGACGAAGAGTTCGGCATTGGCGATGTGCCCGAACAGGACACTCCGATCGACCTCAGCCTAAAGAAGGACACGTCCACTGATAATGCCTCGAGCTGTGAGAGTGATATTGACGTCGACGATCGCAAGTCGCACAGCGGCGTCCTAACGCCCACTTCGGAAGAAACATCAGACTGTGCCCCTCACTGTCCTCCCATCGAGACGATCGTACCGTCGACACCACTCGATCTTACCGGACCGACCATCAAAAGCAACTAAACAACCGGTACTCCAGAAACTCTAGCACCATCAGTGACGATAGCTATCCCTTGCAGCGCAGTTAACAATTCCCCCCATCCCCACGGTGACTTTATCGTACATTAGCAGCAAAACCCTGTTATCGGCAATTTACCAGCTACAGTACTGTGTTTATGGCATAGATCGACAACCCTTTGGCAAAAAATATCATGACGAAGATGAAGCCGCTCGCCAGTTCTAGTACGTTGGCTGTTTTCAAGCTTACGTCCGCTTCCAAAAAGACTCGAGTACATGAATTAAAGCAAATCCATTAATCTATATCATCTCGAATGAACATCAATATATATTGACGAGGCCGCGTAGACATTCATGAAAAAAAAAAAAAAAAGCCTGTTCCAGGAGCGAGTCAGTCACGGGCATCGGTCACGCCATTCTTCTTGTTATCAGTCATTTGACGTTCCTAGGGTTATATTTATTCGGAAAGCTGAGTGTTTGCAAGATGATGCCATGCGAATGGTAATTGTTTGTCTAATGGTCACCAGAACGAGCGGGACGAGGCGTGGTAAATGGTTATATGAAGCCCATATCCATCGGTTCAGATGCGTGTAAAATGAAACATGCTAATGAAAGTTAAACATATATATAATTTGCTTACCAAAGCCGAAGAAGTTGATGATGAAAAACTAGAACAAAAAATAATTAGTAATGAGAAATATGTTGTGTTGTTGACTTTCTTGTATTACTAATATTTTATATAATTACAATATCATCAAAAGAGTACGATGTGTAGAAAACAACTGTCTGTACGAAAGACCGAGTATAAAGTAGACAAGCGAATCTATCAATAGGTAGAACTATAAGCAAAACCTAATATATCTCACTTAAATCAACGCATGAGACTCACAATAAATCGTATGAAAAAAAGATTCGCGACACACGGTTATGTTTTTGAGAATAACAACAACAACAACAACAACAGCAACAGCAGCAGCAGCAGCAGCAGCAGCAGCAGCAACAACAACGTCACCAACATGGCTGATTTCCTTGCCTTCTTAGAGAAGGCCACAGCCACCCTAACATTTTGGCTACCGAAACACTCGTTTATGAATTAGGTTATGTTCTCGGAGAAGCTGCGATTAAGAATGTGTTTGCTCGGACTTAACACCGTGGCGCAGTTTCTATTCGCGTAACGTTTGTACGATATGTCTTGGCGCTTTTTCCGGATGTTACATCTGAATGTACTGTCCGCATTGAATAATCAGTTATACCCTTTGTAATTAGAACATTTCATGAAATGATACATAGTAGTGTTCTATTGTACAGACTGATATACAAATGCTGTTGACGTTCCTAAACTACCCCTTATTCAAGTCGTTGTTGGTGCTGATATCTTGTTGTTGACGTTGTTGACACTAATCATGAGGGCAGACGTCATGCTTTTTATCTAATATATATGTTTCCGCTGGTGCGACAATGCCCGTTTCTGTTTGGGTCTGTCTGACGTCGGCCCAGAGCCGACACAGTTCACGTGCGCCAGTTGGGCATCAGCTAAGGGTCGCTTTATATTAACAATGAATCGGAAAGAGAGTCCACACGTCAGCCTCAGTCCACGTGTTGACTTTGTTGCCGAGTTTTAATCAGGGTATGCCGGAACGGTTCACTCGAACTATGGATATAACTAAGGCGCCGACAAGTTCTAAGTTGTACATTGGGCTCGAACACGGAGGACAGACCAATTTAGAATCTATACTGTAGACAACCTTATTCGATTGTGTCGTCATTCTATTCGTTTCATCTGTTCATGCTGATGACTGAATGTGTCACACTGTACTGTAAATGAGCATGCCTCATATTTCGCATTGTTTTAGCATATTATACCCATCTGATAACCAAGCCAGATTGAATTCTACTATTAACCAGTAATGGCCACTTTATTCGAATCAGGCCATCACGTCTTCACTATAGGCGCGACTGTTGAATACAGCCACGGTAAATGCGAAAGACGGGCCCACTATCTGCCTACAACAACTACCTATTCTGCCACAGTAACAGGAGGAAATTAGCAAGTTGTTTTTTTTTTTTTTTTTATTTGTATACCTCTGTACGCTATCATACAGCAGTCATGCCGGGGTTCTACTGCCTTCACGTGCCGAAAACTCCATCAGCAAGATATGTCGCCCTATCAAACGCTGCTCTTTCCAACCGCCGGGCTGTAAATACTATAGAAGCATACTGACTACTGACTGGTAGATGATTATCTGTCCTCGTCAACTTGAGTGTTACTTCGCTGTTCGTCATACTGAATATTGTTCGAAGCTAGTTAGTCAGTAGAAAACGAAGGCGGGCAGGGACCATTTTTTAATAAGATGATTTGGTGAAATACGTTAAGCGGAGGACCACCTTGAGTATAGACTGCGTCTGGCAAGTTAATTAATCATAATTATTAAACGATAACATGGCGATACTACGATGATAACTATCGCAGTACTAATGTGTGAAAACTAGGTAGGAGAAATTGTAATGTATGATGTTTGGCGATTGTTGTTGACACATATATATATATATATATATATATATATATATATATATATATATATATAAAAGTATTGGTACATGAGAAAAGCAGAACGAATGGCTTAGTTTTAAAGGGTGAAAGGCGCAAATGGAGATAATGCAATTTTAATGAAACCGAGTAACGCGTTTTGTAGGTCAGCGCGACGATAAATAAAGCGCCAAAAGTGGCGACGTGTTCCTACCTGGATTACATATAAGTGAAGTACAAAAAAAAAATAACATAACTGTTGACGCCTCAGTATTATCTAATCGTGGAACGCCGGTTTAGAAGTAAGACGATTAGTTCCACGACACGAAAATGGAAATAGTTTGATATTCTTATGACGACCTATAACGAACTAGGAACAAAAATTTAACAGTAACTGCTAGAGCAGGTCTTCTAATAGGGAAGTTGCTGTTAGACGACAATCCTCGTATTATACTTGCACATTCAATTTCTGTCATTATTGATATAGGTGAGCCTTTGATGGCATCTGTTTCCGCGTTACATGCACGAGTTGTACGGCCAGATCAGATACAAGCACGGAATTGTTATGTTGTTAGTCTGGCTTTTGTATTCAATTTCTGTCGGCATTGTATGACAATTGTTATCCCTTCGGCACGTCTTCAATTCGTGCAGACTCTCGTTTGATAACATATTTACATTGGCAACAGAATCTCCATTAGGAATTAGAGGCGAATCATAATACAACAAGCCGATTGATGCACAAATGTAAACCATAAACTGTTGATCACTAGACGTACACAGAAAATATTCAAAGCTGAGAGGGCGCCTGCGTGGAAAGGTTGTGAAACTTGCTTGAGTCTATGAATATATATCACCCTGTAGACCCTGGAACAAATCGAGTCTCTGAAGTGCGAAGAATTTCACAAACTAAAAACAAATACCGCAAAAAACTAATACCAGTGCGATTTTTTTTTTGCATATTCTTAAAATAACTACTTAGACTTCGACGGAAGCTGTGTTGTACTTTTAGTAATAAAGAATATTAATTATAATATTGACTTGCCACGCTATTTAGCGACTTTATTAAATATTTTATTATTATTATGAATGTATTTCTTTATATATATA